GGGGAACCCGGTGTCCCGTGGCTGACGACGGGGGAACCCGGTGTCCCGTGGCTGACGACGGGGGAACCTGGTGTCCCGAGAACTACAGGGCCGGGTGCCTGCAGAGCCCAGTCCTGCAGTGGTCCCTGAAGGGCGGCTGATCCCAAGGGAGGGACAATTTTGAAATCTTTCACCCTGAGATGAGGACTGACGTACCTGAGGACTGTGGCGGGGGAATCATAGCAGCCTTGAAAAGGAGAAAAGGCACAGTGAGAAGTGCAGGTGGCCCCCAGCACAGAGGCCCACGACACGGGGGCACTCAGCCCATCCTTCTGGTTACTTACAGCTTCGCCAGGCTGCAGGGCAGGGGCTGCGGGCAAACACAGGCGTCACCTGGAGGCCACATAGCTGCCTCACCCGGGGGTGGGGGTCCCTCGCCTGGGGAGGGGGTCCCCAGGGCCTGCAGAGGCTCTTTCCCCGCTCCAGGCTCAGCCCAGCCCCACCTCCACACACCTGCCCAGCAGTGCCCTCAGCCTAGCAGTGGTCTGTCCGGCCACACTTCCCAGATGCACTTGGGGAGACGGGCCCCCAAGCACCCCAGGGAGAGCCGCCCTCCCAGGCCCTCTTGGCAGAGCCACAAGCCAGCCCTCAGCAGGCACATTTCTCTTGGTCTCCAGCACCGTCAGGAAGACAGAGAAGGCTCTACCCTTGCCTGCATTTCCAGGTGAGGCCCAGGGCTGAGGGCCCGCCTCAAGAGACCACCACAGTGCCCACTTCTCACCTCCGTTGGGTAGGCCGCTATGCACCCCTGCGCTCTTGGTGGGCACCTAGGCTGCCCAGGAGCAGCTCTGGGGGCGGTAGGGAGGAGGCTCGGAGTGGGAGTGCCCCGGCCACTGCACTGACACACCAGGACCTCCGTGGCCACTGCAGTGGAGCAGCCTCCCACGGCGGACTCGGAGTGCCCATCCTGACTGGCGTGGGGGCCCGGCCCCTCACTCTCAGGACCTTCGAGCTACAACAGCCCCTCGGAGGCCCCCAGCATTGGCCATCAGTGGGTGGACAGGGTCTCACTGAGGCCAGGTAAGGAAGCTCTAGCTAATCACCCCCAGCACTGTCCACTGTAGGATCAGATCCGTCGGCCAGACCATCTGCCCGGCACACCCGAGGGCACGGCAGGAGTGACACCCATATCTTCGGGAGGGAGGCGGGTCTGCAATCCAGTCCGGGCTAAGCTGGAGTGGCATGGGGCCCCACTGTCCCTGCACCAGCCTGCCTGTCCCCCCCCCCCCAGTCCCAGGGAGGCAGGACGGGGAGAGGAGACAGCTGGCTGGAGGAGCTGCAGGCAGGTGGCCCCTCGACCAGGGATGTCACCCCCTCCCCACACCCCTCCCACCCCACATCAGCAACCCCGCTGTGATGCCCTGAGGTGGAGTCTCGCCAACACCTCCACCCTGAGAGTCCCACAGAATCCACACGGGAGCCTCCCTAGGAAGTGGCTGCCCCTCATACTCAGACACAAGAACCACGTGACAAGCCAGACCCCTTCCTGTCGTTCTGTGAGGCGTCTTCATTGCTGGGCACCCTGGATCTCGCCACCCCGGCCCCCACTTCTCCGTGCCCCCCAGGCAGTACCCGTGGCTCCGTGCGGGTGTGTGCACTGGGCAGGACCCTCTGGCTCAGCAGGGTGTTGCCACGGTGGCAGGAGGAAATACCTTTGTTTCTTCCGTAGAAGACCTTGGGGAGTTTACTGGTTCGCTTCAGATAGAAGAACCCAGCCACGGAGAGGATGAGGCCAGAGCTGATGAAGAATGTCCCCAGGAAGAGAGAAGCTGCCACTTGAGGGCCCCCTGTGAGCAGAGTGAGTGGCAGCCAGTGGCAAGCCTGGACAGGCCTCAGGGGACCCCCCAGACCCCTGTTCCTGAACACACCTGGGCTGTGGGGCTGAGGCGCTCAGCCTCCCTCGGCCTCAGGCTTCTCACGGGGGGGTGGGATATGGAGAGGGCTGAGGATTCCAGCCCCCGAGAACAGCAGGCCCCGGGGTCCCCGTCTCCTTCCCAAAGGCTCGGCACGGACCGTGGGCTCCCGTACCCCTGGCATCCAGGTCAAAGCCCTCGACTCAGAGGCAGCGGTTCCCACGACATCCTCCCCTCCTGGGGGCCGGTCAGCAGAGGGGACCCTGGGCCCACGATGCCTGCCCATCTTTACCTACACGGGTCAGCAGGACAGGCTGGCTGGGCCCGTGGGTGGGGGCTCTGGATGGCAACTGTGGGGAAAGTGCTCTCAGGCTGCCTGTGGACAGGCATGAGGAGCGGCTGCGGCTACACTGGAACCTAGAAGCGGGGATGAATTCCAGCTCATTTGGCAAGGGTGTCCCGCCCCAAACTTGCTGCAGTGAAAATGGGCCCGACAGCCAGACTCGCGGCCTTCCGCCATCAGCACGCCCACTGCTAGGCCCGGCACGGTATCACAGGAGGCTGGGGCCGTCTCTGCCGACCCCGCCCTAAAACTCCTCCTCTGGTGGCCGACCTTGGTGGTCCAGGTCAGCACAAAGCCACTTGCTTCTGGTCCTGAAACTTGTGCAGAAGGCCAGAGCCCTCTCAGTCCACGTACAACGTGTCCCCTGCTGAAGGCCCAGCGTCTGCAGGTCACGAGACCCCGTCACGACCTGGTCACCTCAGAAGAGGCGACCACTCCCGGGGCCGGTCCTGCTCCCCGACTGCAGTGGCCCCAGCGGCTGGGGTGCCACACCTCCGTGGCAGGACCGTGCCGTATCTTGGACGGGATGGGACGCCCAGTGATCAGGAGCAGGCTGAGGACAGAGTGTGCAGGAGGGGGGCCTGTGTCTGGCCCTGAGGACTGGGTGGTGTGATGGGCTCTTCGGCCTGGCATGCAGTGTTTGCAGGCCAGACCCCACATCCCCAGAAGAGCCACAGCGGAGGGAGGCAAGGAGACCTCAGGGCACCCTCCTCCAGTCTCCAGAGAACCGCACACCCAGAGTTTCTGCGGACTGAGGGGCTGGGTGGGCCAGGACTGAGGCCACGGGTGAGGTGGCCTTCCACTGACTAGAACCTCAGGGGCACGTGTGAGTACTGTGGCAAAGGCCTCCTGCCTGTGCCCACTGACGCCAGCCCCGCTCTGTGATCGGGCAGGGTTCTCGCACATAGATCCCTCGGCCGGGCTGCAGTTCGACCTTGGCCTTAGCCGTGGCCCTGCTGAGGCCGGCGTAAGTGGTCACGGGCACTAGGAATGCCCCCTTTTCCACCGAGACCTGGCAGAAGCCCTGCTCTGGGCCGGTGAGCCAGAGACTTACCGAAATCAGGCCGCCCCGGTGTCCCTGTGCTCCTGTTCACCGGGAAGTGCGTGCCCCAGCCAGCGGCTGTGGGGAAGCAGACGTGTGAGTATGCCGGCTCCCGGGCAGCCCAGACCCACAGGCAGGTCTGGACCACGCACGGGGACCCAGCTGAGGACACCCAGGGGACCAGAGACACAGCTCAGCGGGGAATCACGGGCCAGAAACCAGAAAGGGAGGTGGCCATGGGGACACAGCTGCCCTCGCCCCATGGCCGTCCCGCAGGGACAAGGATTTGGGCACAGAGGGGACCCGAGCAAGGGTGTTCACTCGACGGCTGGTGGTCCCGGGTGAGGTGGGCCACCCGCTGCTGTGGGAACAAGAAAGGCAACTCCCACCCGTTCCTCCAGAACTTGGAGATGAGGCCCCTCGGCGGGAAGCAGGCCAGGCGGGCCCGGTGGGGGGTGCCGCGGGGCGGCCGGGCAGCGACGTGCGGCCTCTGCATTCGGAGCCGTGGTAGGTGCCATTTCTGCATCGGACGCAGCTGATACTGCCGTCTTCGTTCCGGTGCCTGTAGCAGCCTGCGCAAGAGACAGTGACTCAGCTGTGAGTGACCCACGCCAGCTGTCTTCAGGGGGCTTTTCTGTATTCTGACTTTGTGAAATGAGAGTTCGTCCAAGAATGTGCGTTCTGCAGGTCTGGATGGAACGGCATACCTGCTCTCAGAAAAAGAAACTCGACGGGAGCCGCGGCGAGCTCGCTCACCCAGGGGCTCCTGCGGGCTCCTTTGCCGGACGTCTCGTAAAATCCTGCAGGCGGGCGCCACGCACGGCCGTGGGAGGACCACGATGGCCTGACCGCCGGCCCTCACCCTGCCCTGTCAGTGGCACTGCCTCCAGCCCAGGGGTGACCCTTGCCCCCATGTTGTCCCCACCCTCCGCACCCTTCCCCGGGGAGGTCCCAGACTGATGTGCAGGCCAGCAGCCTCCCCCTCCCCCGGCGCTGGGAGCAGCCCGGCTCTCACCGGCCAGCGGTTCATGGACAGTCTGTTTTGCCAAGTAGCCAGGGCACCCCTTAAGGGCAAGAATTGTGTCTTGTACCTTTATTTTTTCTTAACATCCCCAACATTTAGCACAGAGGCTAAGCAAACACATGCTCGGTTGCAGGTACTGACCTGGGCCTAAATGCTAGCGCTGGCCGCTGGGGCAGTGTCCAGGGACAAGCCCCAGACTCAGGTGCGACGTTTAATCTACACAATGTGTCACTGTGAGATGACGCTAAGTGGATGGCAGGCCTGAAGACTGACCGGCGGTTACTCCTGTGGTACCGCGGGCAGACAGGCCCAGCACCACACCAGGAGGCCTGGGAGCATGGGGTCCCGGAACAGACCCGGTGCCGGCGAGGCCATTCTTCTGGGAAGCACTCCTCCAACCGGCTACAAGGTAACCAGGCAAAGCGGTGCAGGGCTGCCGGCCCCAAGGAGGCCCAGGGCTGGGCTGCTTTGTGCAGGGACAAGGCACAGTTAGAGAGCCAGGACTGGTGACCAGACAAAGGAGCTAAGGTTGACTTTACGAAGCCAATGAAGCTGCTTTTGAAAAACCACAGGAGGGGTGCCTGGCAGACTCGGTCAGCGGAGCGTGTGACTCTTGATCTCAGGGTCATGGGTTCAAGCCCCACGATGGGTGTAGAGATTACTTAAAAAAAAAAATCCAGGGGCACCTGGGTGGCGCAGTCGGTTAAGCGTCCGACTTCAGCCAGGTCATGATCTCGCGGTCCGGGAGTTCGAGCCCCGCGTCAGGCTCTGGGCTGATGGCTCGGAGCCTGGAGCCTGTTTCCGATTCTGTGTCTCCCTCTCTCTCTCTCTGCCCCTCCCCTGTTCATGCTCTGTCTCTCTCTGTCCCAAAAATAAATAAACGTTGAAAAAAAAATCCATAAGGGAAGGGAAGGGGAGATAAGAGGCGAAGGGAAAAGAGGGACGGGAAGGGGAGGGGAGGGGAGGGAAGGGGAAGGAAGGAGGGAGGGAGGGAGGGAGGAAGGAAAACCACCTGATACTTCCCAGCCTCACTTACAGGTGAGTAAGGAAGCTCACTTCCTGGCCAATCCAGGAAACTTAAGGGTATTTTGACCTTGAGAAGAGGGGAATTCAGGGCGCCTGGGGGGCTCCATAGGTGAAGCATCCAACTTCTGCTCAGGTCATGATCTCACGGTTTGTGAGTTCGAGCCCCACGTCGTGCAGTGCACTCTCAGAGCCTGCTTCAGATCCTTTGTCTCCCTCTCTCCCTGTCCCTCCCCTGCTCGTACATACTCTCTCTCTCCCTCTCTCTAAAATACATAAACATAAAAAAAAGGAGAGAGGAACTCACCAACATCTATAGGTACTGCAGGTAAGGTCTGATGGCGAGTCCTTGGCTTGGCTTCCCAGCCTCGAGAGTCCAACCTAAGATTCCTTGTGGAAAGGTCCAGCAAGGCAGACTTAAAAGTCTAAATGGTTAATCACTATTCTTGCTGCACTTAGCTAGGTAATTGGGCCAAGTTTAGTGAGGCTAGACTTATTTTATTTTATTTTTTTTAATTTTTTTTTCAACGTTTATTTATTTTTGGGACAGAGAGAGACAGAGCATGAACGGGGGAGGGGCAGAGAGAGAGGGAGACACAGAATCGGAAACAGGCTCCAGGCTCTGAGCCATCCGCCCAGAGCCCGACGCGGGGCTCGAACCCACGGACCGCGAGATCGTGACCTGGCTGAAGTCGGACGCTTAACCGACTGCGCCACCCAGGCACCCCTAGACTTATTTTAAAAACAAATTCAATTCGGGGCGCCTGGGTGGCTCAGTTGGTTGAGCATCCAACTCTTGGTTTCAGCTCAGGCCATGATCTCACGGTTCATGGGATCAAGCCCCACGACGGGCTCCGTGCTGAATGTTTATTATTTATTTGGAGAGAGAGAGAGAGAGCACACATGCACAAGTAGGGGGAAGGGCAGACAGAGGGGGAGAGAGAGAGAGAATTCCAAGCAGGCACAGAGGCTGACGCAGGGCTCGATCCCACGAACCGTGAGATCGTGACCTGAGCCGAAATCAAGACTCGGATGCTTCACTGACTGAGCCGCCCAGGCGGGCAATAAACAAACATTAAAAAAAAAAAAAAAAAAAAAAAAGAACTAAAACTGCCATCTCCCCAAAGCCCTGCAAGCTGAGGCTGGACGTCTTGACACGAACCTTGCAGAAGTCACCTCGACACCTCACATGTGGACAACCTCGTGCCTGCTGCTGTGTGGGCCACTCGGGAAGCTCACAAGAAGCCCCACGACCTCACCAGAGACACTCGCCGCAGTGCAACCCGGGAAATCCGTCAGACTGCCTCTTGCTGTCCTCACCCCCCAAACGGGCTTTGCGTGCAGCATCCAGAAAGGTACTTAGAGACTGGCCTCTAGACTGAAAAAGCAGGTTTGTAACTCGCTACCACCATTCACATCCGTTTTCTTTTGTTTCCCCAGAAATGCCTCTGACTACACACCTGCCCGCTCACCCCATGCCGAGGCCTCGTTCCAGTGGAGGCCCGGCCTGAGCATCGGTCTCACTGGACGGACGGCCACCAGGACACCGAGCCCGAGGCGTGCCACCAGGGGCTCAGACCCGCTCTTTCCTGCCCGCTCCACCTACGCTCTTTCTCCCACTGCCCGTCCCTTATCTCAACTTCCGAGCAAATCTCCCTCAGCTACCAGCTTGGCTTTTAATGTGTGAAACGTTCTGAGGATGAAGTTTCAAGGGGGGGCTGAGGGAACCCGAACGTCACCCCAAAATATGCCTCTTTCACACAAAAATTATTTTGAGCTGAAGACCCTCAAAACACAGGAGCAAGAAGGGCTCTGGCGTCGCTTTCTCTCCCTGAGAAGCAGGGACAAAGGCCCCACGTGGAGGACGCCCACGCAGCAGGGGGAAAGGAACGCGCGCATCGCCAGGGTCCCGAGCCCGGCGGACCTCGTTAAGGTCGCCCTCACCTGCCTCCACCCCACACACAGCCTACTTTCCCGCAGTCGCCTCTCCCTGCTCAGCCTGGCGCGTGAGCGCTCCCGTCTTGGCTTCTTTACGAGGCTCCCGTGTCACATAAAGCTTATGTTACTCGGGCTGTGGGCTTGTCCCCGCGAATCGTCCGGCCGGACACCCTAGGAGGAGAGGTAGAGTCTCGCTTCCCCCACACCTCCCACTGCCCGGAGCCAGTCTCCTCACGGGGTCCTGCCCCTTCTGCCCAAGAAGAGGCAGCCAGGCTGCTGGCCAGGAGGGAGGCTCAGACGCGGTCCTGTCCCCTTCCTGCGGCTTCTGTCCGCTCTCCCAGCCCCTGGCCCAGCTCCCAGGCCTCTCCAGCGTCCTTCCTGAGGGGCCGTGTGCCCTCCTGCTCACACCAGGCGCGGTGAGCTCAGCAGAGTTCACATGAGCACTGTCCTCATCACCACGCTGGTGATGACCGGTCAGGGTTGGTTCATGCCAAAGCAGCTTACCTGGGCCACACGGGCTTGTGCTCTGGCAGGTGGCGTTGACATCCACCAAGTCCACACAACATTCAGGCTGCTGGCCCTAGAGGGGAGACGGTGGTGAGCTGCCAGACCCCACAGCCGGACGCTCGGGCAGGACAAGCAGGCCAGGCTGGGAACGGCCCTGGCCTGGGGCAGCGAGGAGGGGCAGGGAGCGGTCCTGGGAAAACTTCCGGGACCGAGGTTTATGTTGTCGCTTCCCTCCACTGCCTGCCCGGCTGACCACCCAAGGCCTCGCCTGGGAGGTGGTGGGGGCCGTGGCCCTTTCTCCAGGTGGGTCTCGGGTCCGGGGCGGAGCTGCTGCCGATCGCCCCGCGGACCACAGGCGGATACGCGGTGGGGCACTTCAGTCCAAGAAATGATTGACAGGCTTTACTCAGAGGTACTGCGGATTCAGTTCCAGACCACAATAAAGCTCGTCAAGTGAATTTTCTGGTTTCAGGTATGCGTACAAGTTACGTTTACACTATAGTCCATTAGGCGTGCAATCGCGTCGTGTCTAAAACACAATGTACGTGCCTTAATTAAAACTGCTCTGCTGCTGCAAAATGCTGGCCGTCGCCCGAACTTTCAGCGGGTCATAATCACTGATCACAAGTCACCGTAACAAATGTGATAGTAATGAAAGAGTCGAAATATTGTGAGAATCACCAAAATGTGGCGCAGAGACATGTTGTGAGCAGATGCTGGTGGAAACGTGGCACCCACAGACTCGCTCAACGCAGGGTGGCCGCGAACCTTCAATCTGGAAAAATGCAGTATCTGCACAGCGCGATAAAATGAGGTGTGCCTGGCTATTCGCCACCTGCCAGACGACAGAGGTGCTAAACCCTACTGCAGGGCCACATGTGGACTCCTTCATGAAAAAAGGACACACACGTTTTTCTAGGCTATAATAAGATACGAAGATAAACCCAGGAGGCCCTGGCCTCCCTGGTGAGGTGTGTCTGCCCCTCACTCCCAACAAAATAGTCACCCCCTGGGTCCTGGTTGGTCCACCGACGTTCTCAGAAATGCTACGGATGCCTTCCACTGGGGGTTTTCAGCTTGGCCCTCGAAGAGGAAGTGCCCAGACTAGGGCAGGCTGTGGGGTATGACCTCACACCTGCTGGGTGAGCACGCAGGAGTGCACCACGCGGGGGCCAGACATGCCAAGCGCTGGCGTTTACGGGACCAGACTTGAGGGGTTTCCAAGGGGAGCTCGGCGCAGTGTGTTTATCGTAGCTGAGCTTTTGTTTCTTGCGACAAGACCACAGTGAACGGTAAGGTGTCTAAGGAATGGCACGGAGTACCCACACCACCACAGGAAGTGTCGAAGGTCGGTTCACAGCTGAGGCCCAACCCACGAGGGACACCCCAGCCATCCCATTCCACCCTAGCAGAGGCAGAGTGGCGGAAGGCCCCACCCGGCCTGGATGACGTGTGGCTTGGGAGAGCCAGGGCACCCGGTCACAGGAAGCCTGGGGCAGACCCTGCCTTATGCCACTGCTTGCCTGGAGTAAGCAGTCTCCAACCACCCTGCTGTCGGGCAGAAAGCCTGCAGGCTCCGTTCAGGGCCAGTGGGGGGCAGCTGTGTAGAGACCCTATTTCAGCTACAGCAACAGGTTCACTTTGGCAGAGACAGAAAGGAGGTTCTAGGGGACATAACAGAACAGGTGACAGTTGGGGGCATGTGTTTGCTGACCTCCATGTGGCACAGGCCTCCCTGACCGTGACAGAGGGCACAGTCAGTGTCTCTGGGGCCAGGGCAAGGGTGACCCCCAAAGGTCGAAGGGTGAGGCCCCTCTGGGCAAACAACTGGGAAGACTGTACTTCCTGGCACCCATGCTGCCCCGTGACGCGTCACCTACCACACTTTCTGAGGATTTGCTAGCAACTTCCACCAGGAGACCCACCAGAAGGACAGCGCGCTGGAGCTCCATGTCCCAGAGCGCAGGGTCTGCAACAGACAGGGGCACTGTGTGGGTGCAGGCACCTCCTTCTGGGGCACCATGGGGGCCGAGGTGCCGGACCCTTACCTGGCCTTCTGGGATGGGAGCTGCAGACATCCAGAGCCTGTCGCCCAGTGCTCAGGGGGCAGGGTGGGGTTGCTAAGAAGCCGCAGATCCCTGGTCCCGGGCCTGCAAACCAAGGCACACAGTTGAGGCCCGCTGTTCCCAGGTCGACTGGACTCACCACAAGGAGCCCCCGGAGCTGGGGGACTGGAGGGGCTGTGCTCAGTCCGTCTGGAGCTGGAGCTGGATAGACTCACTGCTTCCTCCAAAGCTTTCAGCCATTCACTGCCTCCTGAAAGGACTAAGCACAAGGGGGTTCTGGACCAGCCGGTCCTACTCATGAGCTCAGATGGATGTTGTCCATCCGCCATCTTGTTCTGTCCTAGGGAAACCCCAACTCAACCATTTTCACCAAGACACAGAACACCTGGGCAGCGAGGTGCCTCTGGGGCCAGCACGGGCCAGTTAGGGACCTGCAGTCATATAATTTTCTGCTACTCACCCTGTTCTTGTCATGGAAACTGCAGGAAAGATGTCAGCTTGGGTGATAAAAGTACTACCTAAAACCACAACTGAGGACAACTCCAGAGCAGAGGACTTCTGATGGCTGATGGGGCCCCACACAGTAGGTAAGTTTCCTGACACTAGCAAATTCAAAACTCCACAGCCCGTGAGATGTGCTTACACTGCCACACTTCCAATGTGGTCAGAGAAAACCCACTAACCCGCACAACCCCTGCAGTGAATTGTTTCAGTTTTGAACAAATTTCTGTTAACTTACAAGGTGGTAACCATAATTATAATCTGTCCAAAACACAGCTGGCTAAATAGTTGGGCATAGAAAAGTCAACTCTAAAAGGACTTTTTATGGGGTGCCTGGGTGGCTCAGTCGGTTGAGCGTCCGACTTCGGCTCAGGTCATGATCTCACGGTTCGTGGGTTCGAGCCCTGCGTCGGGCTCTGTGTTGACAGCTCAGAGCCTGGAGCCTGCTTCGGATTCTGTGTTTCCCTCTCTCTCTGCCCCTCCCCCGCTCATGCTCTGTCTCTCTGTCAAAAATAAATAAAACATTAAAAAAAGGTTTTTAAAAAAAATAAAAGGACTTTTTACTTGACAGAAAGAGCTGCTTATTCAGGGAACCTGTTCAGGTTCCTGGAGATGAAGCTTCCACAGTGGCAAGGTGGGTCGGCAAGGAACACATTTGGAGCCGGGGAATGAGAAACCACCCCCTCAGCCAGCCGAGGGCCCATCAAGACCAGGCGGTGGGCGAGCTCCTGGCTGGGGGTCCTGGGGAAGAGCCCCACTGCCGAGGATGGTTGACAGGCCCCTTGCACTGTGGGCCCCAGGGTTCTGAGCGCGGCGGGGAGGGAGGGTGAAGGCAGGATGACACATGCAGGAGGGCGGTATAGGAACAAGGGCGGGGCTCCGTCCTGTTATCCGCTTCATGCTAGAAGCCCTACACAGGCAGAAACAACTATCAGGCCTTGTTAAGAGCCCCCTTGCTGCCCCTCATTCATGCCATCCATTCAAAATGCACGCTTTATTCGAAATGCACCTTCTTTCTAGGACAGCAACTGCTGATGTCACAGACGCACTGACCCTCATCTACAGGGTGTGATCACATCTTTTCCATTTTTGCCCATGTAAGGTTGGCTCAGCAGAGGCCATCTATCTCTCCGTGCCTTGTGGAAACCCTAAATGTCACGGGACCTTCAGCTCAAACTGTGGTTAAAAGGCAACCCCAGGGTCATACTAAGTCACAAAACACCCTTTCAATTCAGGAATCAGAAGTACATATTTTAACCAACACTGTCATCTGCTAGTCAGTCAACCTCTTAGGGTATAATTCACATACAATAAACCGCATCCACGTAGAGCACACAACTCGGTGAGTTCGGACACGCTGTGCAGGATGTCTCTGCCACCCACAGACGATGCCTGAGCCCCTGTGCCGTCCTTCCCTCAACCCTGGCTTCATGCACCCATGGGGCTGACCTTTGTCACTGCACATCGGCCTGCATTTTCTAGAATTCTACGTAAATGAACACAGTGGCACTTGTGTGCCTGGCTCCTTCCATTTGAAATAATAATCTTTAGATTCATCTGTACCTCGTTCCTTTTATGGCTGAATGATACGCAACGTTGCCTTTACCCAACCACCTGCTGATGTTCACCTGGACTGTTTCTGGATTTTAGTGGCTGTGAATAAAGCTACTGTGGACATTTTTATACATATCTCTGCGTGGACATTTGCTTTAATTTCTCGGGTAAGCACTAAGTACTGCAGCAACGGGGTCAAGGGAAGTGTAACCTGCCAGTCAGTCTCCCGCGGTGCCACATGCGCTCCCACCAGCAGGGTACGAGGGCTCTTCAGCTCCACATTCTTGCCAACAGTGGGCATTGTGTCAGTGGCTGTGCCGTGAGCATTTCACTGTTGCTTTAACTTGCATTTCTCTGGTCACTAATGATGGTTCCTCACCCTCATATGTCTTCTTCAATCATTTGTCCATTTGGTTTAACTGGCTGTCCTTCTATCACTGAGTCATAATAGCTCTTCACACGCTCTTTGTCAGATATGTGTATTTTCAGATGTAAGTATATTGCAAGTATTTTCTCCCATCTGCGGCTTGACTTTTCATTTTCACATGGGATCCAGAAGAACAAATGTTTTCACTTTGATAAAATCCAATGCGTCCATTTTTTCTTTTACATTTCTTGCTTTTTGTGTCCTAAGGTTAATCTCTGCCTTGACCCAAGGGTCATTCCTGTGTTTTATTCTAGAAGTTCTAGAGTTTTAGGTTTTACACTTTGAGTTACTTTTGTGTATGGTTGGAAGCAAAGATCAAGGTTCATTTTTCTCATATGTGTGTCCAGGGGTTATAGCACTGTTTGATAAAAAGATTATCCTTTGTGGGGATGCCTGGGTGGCTCAGTTGGTTGAGAATCTGACTCTTGATTTGGGGTCAGGTCATGATCTCAGTTTGTGGGACTGAGCCGCACACTGGGCTCCACACTGAAGTTTGGAGCATCCCTGGGATTCTCTCTCTCCCTCTCTCTCTGCCCCTCCCCCACTCATTCTCTCCCTCCCTCCCTCCCTCTCTCTCTCAAAATAAATTAATTAATTTAAAAAATTAAAATTAAATTAAAACAGCCTACCTGTCCCTGGGATTTTTTTTTTTTTTTTTTTTTCCTTCTTGGGGCACCTGGGTGGCTCAGTCAGTTGAACATTCGACTCTTGATTTCAGCTCAGGTCAGGATCCCAAGGTCGTGGGATTGAGCCCTGCTTAAGATTCTCTCTCTCTCTGCCCTCTCCCCCACTCATGTGCACTCTCTCTCTAAAATAAAAAAATAAAACTGAACACCTGGGTGGCTCAGTTGGTTGAGCGTTCAACTTCAGCTCAGGTTATCATCTCTCAGTTTATGGGTTCAAGCCCTGCATTGGGCTCTGTGCTGACAGCTCAGACCCTGGAGCCTGCTTTGGATTCTCTCTCTCTCTCTCTCTCTCTCTCTCTCTCTCTGCCCCTCCCCCGCTCACACTCTATTTTTCTCTCTCTCTCAAAAACATACATTAAAAAAAATTTTTTTTAATAAAAAATGTAAAAAGACTTTCCTTCTGGCATCTTCCGTCAAGGCATCTTTGTTGAAAATCAACCGAGTGTGTATGTATGGGTCTACATCTGAACTCTACTCTGCCCCATGCATCTATGTGTCTGTCCTTCACCAACACCACAGTCTCGATTACTGAAGCTTTCATGAAAGCTTGTAAACCAGTAGCATAAGCTTTGCTCTGTCAGGTCTAGGTCATATGCATTTCTGTATTTTCAAAATCACCTTGTTAATTTCTATAAAAGAGCCTGGTGGCATTTTGGCTAGAATAATGGACATTTTAACAATAATGAGTCTTCTGATCTATGAATGTGCTATCACCCTCCATTTATTTCTTCACATTTTCTTTTAAGCTATCTCGGCAACATTCTGTAGTTTGCAGTGAAGAGGTGGTCCTGGGCAGAAGTGGGTTCTGAACAAGCCAGTCCTATACATGAGCTCAGACTACTTAATAAGTGAGCTTGTCAAACTTCTTGCTAAATATTTTATGTTTTGGTACTATTGTAAATAGAATTGAATTTCTAATTTCACTTTCTAATAGTTTGCTGCTAGTACATAAAAATACAATTAAAATCTGTGCATTTGCCTTGCTTTCTGAAATCTTACTAAATTCATTTGATAGTTCTAGCACTTTTTGTAGATTCCTTAGATTATTCTACATGAACAATCATGTCATCTGCAAATAAATACAGCTTTACTTCTTTAGTTGTTTTTTGAGACTTGTTTTAGGGCACAGCAATTGGTCTATGTTAGAGAATATACATTGTGCACTTAGTAGGAATCTGTGTTGTGCTTTTGATGAGTATAGCTTTCTACAAATGTCAAGTAGGTCAAGATGCCTGAGCGTAGTGTTCACATCCTCTATGTCTCTACTAATTTCTTTGCTGTTTTATTCTAATAATTGGTGACAGAAAGAGATGTTAAACTCTCTTATTATAATCATGGAATTATCTATTTCTCCTTTTAACTCTGTCAATTTTGCTTCATTTATTGTGAGGCTCTGTTATTAGGCACATTCATAAATTGATAGGTCTTCTTGAAGACATGACCCTTTTATTATCAGATATTTCCCCTTTATCTTTGGTAATACTCAATATACTGGAATCTATTTTATCTGATATAAATGCAGCCAATACAGTCTGATATTCACTGTTTGCAACATAGATGGATTTTTAGATCTATCTATAGATATATTTTGCATCTATATATCTTATCTTCAACCTGTGTTTTTTAATATTTAAAGTGAATCTCCTATATACAGTATGCAGTAGGTCTTGCTTATGTATCCATTGTGGCAATCTCTACCTTTTTTTTTTAATGTTTTTATTTATTTTTGAAGGAAGGAGGGAGAGAGAGAGAGAGAGAGAGAGAGAGAGAGCATGAGCAGGGGAGGAACAGAGAGAGAGGGAGACACAGGATTCGAAGCAGGCTCCAGGCTCTAAGCTGTCAGCACAGAGCCCGATGCGGGGCTAGAACTCACAAACTGTGAGATCATGACCTGAGCTGAAGTCAGACGCTAAACC